TTGAACCCAGGCCAGTCTGCATGATCGGTTGAATCATTCATGTATTGAGCAGTATGCATAGTGGTTAGGGCCATCAAGTTGAAGCCAGACTACCTGAGTTCTGTGGACAAAAAGGGGCCACATGCGAACCTGACAAACTCTGGGGCAGCCTTGCAAACTCAGAGACCTACAGTAACCACAAAGGATGGTTGAAATGAAAACTTTTAAACTAAAAGCAGTTTATGGCAGGAAGTCATGTCTTAGGCTAGAATCTTTCCTGACACAAGTCAAATTTGGCCGTAACTAAGCCTGTCTATTATCTTTTGCATCCGGGATACCATCCCTTTGGCATGTCAGGGTAACTCCCCTTTTCTGGATCCTCAGGGCACAACCAATGCACCAGGGTAGAGACCATAAATCCTTTCATTTATTGTTATGTTCATTGTTGACTGTTAACTCTCCTGTACCACCTGTGTAAAAGAAGTAGGTGTCTATCATTTTACTTTTCATCCAACCCAGAGGTTTACCGCTTTGCTTTCTCCACCTCTTTAATCACAAATGAATTTCCTGTAACCCACTTAAGTCTTCTCTTTTGATTGTAATGTATAAAATAAGATGCGAAACTGCCATTCTCTGGAGCATTATCTCAATCCGTTGAGTTTTTGCTTCCTGGCAAGTGTTGACAGTTTGGCTTAAATAAACTCACAAAAATTCTCCATAGGTTTGAATGCTTCTTATATTGACAGTTCGAAGCCTAGCTTCTTTGTCCCTCTGTTAACTCTTGTAAAATAGGGATAGTTTTCAAGATTAAGTAGGTACATGTGTGTACACAATTTAAAACAAGGCCAGGTGAATATAGCACACGTGTTAAAGGCATGTTAGCTAATATTCTTTCAACTAATTGTTATTGAGGTCTAACTACAAACAAGACTTTCTTTTAGACCTAGGGATGCAGCTCTGAGTAACAGAGAAATGGGCCCCGCCTCCTCCCTGAACTCTTATCCACAGGCAAATCAAGTCATAAATTAAGATTGTCCTGGCCCTGGCTGGTGTGTTCAGTGGTTAGAGTGTCAGCGCTGGAACCAAAGGTTTCAATTACCCATTAAGGGCATGTACCTGGGTTGTGGGATTGATCCTTGCCCCAGTCAGGGTGTTTTTGGGAGGCAACCAATCGATGTGTCTCTCTCACATTGATGTTTCTTTCTCTGTCTCTCTCTCCTCCTTCCCTCCCTTTCACTCTTTCTAAAAATCAATGGGGGGAAAAGATAATTTCAGGTAGTGCAAAGGCCTGCCAGGGGGATGGGCTTGTTGAAGAAGATGGTTACAATGCTGGTCCATGTTGTTTGGTTCAAAGCTGTATTCTAGGGTCTAGAGCAGTGCCTGGCACACAAGAGGCGCTCAATAATATTTGATGCATCAAAGATTGGATGTAGGAGATGAGGTCAGTGAGGTTGAGATGGGCCAGGAAGCCAGGACAAGTAGAACAGGGAAACTGAGATAGATAGCTGAACAAACTGACCGAGCAATTTATAGCAGATACACGTCACCTCCCTAGAGATAATATTTCAGCTCCAGGCCCAGAAAAGCAGCAAAACCAGGTGGTTGACACCAGGACCAGCTGCAATGACTGATGACCTCCTGCCCTAACACTGACCAATCAGTGGAGACCATGACCCTGAAGGAGCACACCTAGAAAGTGATGAATATTCCACTGAAATCCTCCCTGAGACATCCCATAAGATTTCTGTCTACAAGAGAGAGATAAAGCCTCAAGACAAAGGACCCCTGCACCCAGGTACATGCCCTTGACCAGGAACTGAACGCTTGACCCTTCAGTGCCCGGGGGTGGGGGTGTCACTCTAACCACTGAGCAACACTGGCTTTCCCATCGGAAGTGTTCTAGTGTTATTGAGAATGGTCCCTATGCCAGCCAGTTGAACTACAGTAAAACCTCCATATAATGGACTAATTCAGGTGGTGGGGTGTCTGTTAAAGCCAAAAGTCTCTTTTATAATAAAGTAGGTTTTCCAAATGCATATGTTAGAAAACTGACAAATTAGTTAATTTACCTGTTTTTAGTTATTTAGACACATCTGTGTAATTAAAATTAAGTATGTATGAAAAGTTTAACTTTACAGAAAAGTTTTCTATATGTATTACTGTAATTTTAAATTTATACTGAATAGGCCTAGTAAATGGCTGCATTCACCAGTCACTGTGGGTAAATAAATGCACATGGCTGGGGCCTGGCTTAGCACACATTGGAACATAGGCCAGCATGCCATTAAAACTGCTGCAGACACACTGGCCAGTGTGCTCAGTGGTTAGAGCGACACCCCCTGACCCCCGGGCACTGAAGGGTCGAGGGTTCAGTTCCTGGTCAAGGGCATGTACCTGGGTTGCTGGTTCAATCCCTGGCCCCTGGTCAGGGTGCATGCGGGAGGGAACCAATCAATAAATGTTTCTCTCTCTCTCTCTCTCTCTCCTCCTCCTCCTTCTCACTCTTCCACTCTCTCTAAAACTCAATAGAAAAAATATCCTCGGGTGAGGATTAACAATAATAACAAAAACTGCTGCAGAAATTCATACAAAGAAGCAATAGAACTGATTACCACACAGGATGTGGTGTGATCACTTGCTAATCATTCGCCGAACATTGTTTATGAGAGATGATTTTTGGATTTAAATATGTTAGATTATAGTTGTAGATATGTCATATTTATTTATATTAGTAAAATTACTGTAGTGTTTTTTCTAACATATGGCCTATTTGCTAAAATTTGTTAAAAATAACAGTGAAATATTAACAAAAAATAACCTGTTAATTTAATTATAAGCAAATCTTGGTTAAAAACATTTTTAAATTAACAAGGTTTTAATTTTCACATATGACATACATGCCAGAAATTTTGTCTGTTAAACACTAAG